TGGCATTGTGCTCAGCTTATGGAGCTGGGGGCAGAAGGTGAAATAAGGGGAGATATTCAGAGTGATGCTGTTTGTCTTCCCAAGTACCTGCTATGCATGATGGAACCCGACTTTCCTGGGGATGGCTGAACACCTGCATGCCAAAGGGAAATGGTGAATTAATCCCTTGTTTTGCTTTGCTTGCATGAGCAGCTTTTGCTTTCCCTATTAAACTGTCTTTTACCTCAAACCTTGAGTTTTCTTACTTTTACTCTTCCATTTCTCTCCATTCCATGGGGGAAGGTGAGCAAGCAGCACCATGGTGCTTGTTTTCCAGCTGGGGTTAAAGCACAGCAGGGCTTCAAAGGCCTGTACAGTGATCCTACAAGCTACCAGTTAGCACATCAGGCTTTGCTTCCATGAAGCTGCCTCAATTGTCCACAGTGATGCTTCTGCTCAAACCCCAAACTGTCCCAGCACTAAAAACACTGGTGAACTGTGCATGCTCTTACCTAGGCCAAATATGGTATTCTTCCATCTTCACCCTTCCAAGCTCAGTCCAAAAGTTCAAGTAAACCCTTGGAAGCTGGATCAGCAGCTCTTAGTGTGCATTTCCAGCTGTCAGTTTTAAGACACAAACAGAGTTGCTCTTCAGCATGTGTGCCCCTATGTCTAGTGGGGTAACGTCCTGAATTCTTGCTTAGACATGCAAAGGCATTTCTTCTGCCAGGGGTCACCTATTTCAAGGAAATCATCCAGAATGCTGTAGTCTTCTTTGCCCAGCATATTTCTCCCAGCCCTTTAGCGCACTTTTGGCTTAACTCAGGAGTACCACAGTACTCTGTCTGAACCTGAGTACAGGTATGCACAGGGTCATGGTTCTCTCACTTCTAGTTCCTGCTTTCAGTATTGTTTCAGTACCTTACTGTAAGCAGAAAATAATAATTCATTATTTCAGTTTGGTGCCCAATGTGATCTCTTGTTCAGAATGTGCATCAGGTCGTCAGTGGCCTTTTTTTTTTTATAGCAGATGATTTTTGCCTAATTCCACCACTTGCAAGAGTTTATCACTTTCCACTCAGCCTGGACTCTGGCTAAAATAAGATGGATTGCTATTTGCAGTCAAAATTTTGATACTACAGCTTCATAGTAATTTTTCTGTAGGAAAGTTTTAAAAGGTGTAATTTGGCATGTTGACTTCATCATAAATTTCAGTCTGGTTTTACTATTCATTTCCCAGGCTGTTGAGAGGCTACAGTAAAAAATATTTCCCTATAACTTTTCTGTAACCTTGGAGTTACGCATACGGGTTGAAAGTATGCATCTGCTGAATTAGCAGAAATGCAAAGAGGCGAGAAATAATTATATTAGTGATTTTTTTTTTTTTTAACACAGATTCTAAGGGGTATTTAAGGAACTATGAGAGTAAGCATGACATTTGTGCCAGGCAAGGTAATAGAATCTCTAGTAGAGGAATCAGAATAGTGAACCCAACGTGCCATGTTAAAGATTGCAAACAATATATTGTTCCTGAATATATTTAATGTATATATATATATAATTCACATGTTGTTCTATGCCATGCAATGGGATAAAGGCAAAACATTAACATGGTTACTATTTCTGTATGGGACAGTCATGTCTCACACCTCTGCAGGGTTCTTCATGTGTACAGACAAGGTGTGTAAGGGGTGGTACTCCATCCAACAACTCTCCTAGGTTAAGTCTGGACATTGATTCATAACTCTTGAATGAGATACATACAGCAGAGGGTAGGAAGAAATTAACATTTTTCATGGTACAGAAGGATCTTCAACACACTGCAAAAAGCATCTGGTTGGAGTCTGTTCTGTTCAGCACACTCAGAAGTGTTTGAGAAAGGACATGTACAAGAGTGTCATACACAATTATACATATACTACACAATATGGAAGTAGTGGAAACTTTGCTGGTGACAGTGTTACTCCATTGACAAGTGCACAGTGGAATTGTGGACCACCTTGTCAGAGGGTGGTGGGTAAGCTACCAAGATTCACATGTGCTCTTATCCCCCATCTTCAAACACTTGGGCACATCTGAAAATTTTCACCCGTGTGAGTTCCATGAGGCACTCTCTGTGTGAAGGAACTTCATTGTATTGCAAGGGAAAGCTTTGAGAAAGGAAAGAATTGTAAAGTTTTTACAGGAGCCTGTCTTGTGTGCCTGTCACCACTATGACAGCAAAAGGCAATTCTCAGCAACCAGTACAATCCCATGCTGTGTCATCAGCCTGGAGCATCCCATGGTGCTTTATTTATGCTGGTTGATTCTCTGGATCTTGCTGAAGGTAATGACTGTAAAAGTGCTGTGTGCCTATTTTTTGGCAACCATCTATCCTTTAGGAGTCAGGTGTGCAAAACAATTCTCATTTAGCTATTTTTGGTCACATCAGTGCTTGTCCATTAACTTCCGGCAATGCAGCGTCACTTGAAGTTGCTATGTTTAGATGACTTTATTGATGTGTGAAACAGAGTGAAAAGTGAAAAGCACATCAGCATGCAAGAAAAAAAGTCATCAGTTTCCTGGATCACAAAGAATAAGAATGTTCAATAGTTTAATACTAGAAAATTAATGCAGATGAGTCATCCTCACAGTAAAACTACAGACAGCTGGATCGTGAGAGTGTTTTTCTGTTCTTTCTTTCTTGTAATAAGAACAATGTATCATTGTCTATCACATATTCTCCAAATTACAGAAGTGTTTTGCACACCTGCCATTTAACCTTTCAGCATTCTGTATGTCACCTGGCTCCTGCATGTCTGCACAAGTATTTAACATGTATAGAAGAAAATGCTTTGAAAGTTTATCCAAGCAAAACATGCTTAGAAGGTTAAGAAAGTGAGCACACTTCTCTAATTCACAAAACGATCAAGTAATTTTTTTCCTCTCCTGTCTAATTGTGGAGGGTTGAAGAGGCCTCATTGAAGAGACCTCCTTGCATGGAAACAGAAGTGATTTTTCAATATGAGAAGATGTGGAATACTTCATTAGATGTTTGTCCTGAGGAATTATAGCAAGATTGGCCCATTGTGAACTGGATTTTTACTGCTTCATCTGTCTTTGTTTTCTCCTCTTGTTTTATCTTCATTTTATTGTGTGTGTCATGGTGGGAAAACATTATTTTGTGAGTGTTCTTTTTAACAAGTAAAGCCTGCTTCCTGCAGCCAATATAGATTTGTCTGACTTCTAGGTTATAGATCATTTGATAGATCATAGATCACTTGGATCATTTTTCTTTTAAATTAATCTGATTCTGGCCCAAAGGATCTGACAAAGCTAATATGCCACAGTTGTGCATATGTTATAACAGGCAACCTTCTGATTGCTCCACCACCTCTTGAAAATTAGGTTTTACAAGCTCAGTGAAGGAAGCACACATCACTTATGTGCAATAGGAGTGGTCTTTTTGACAGAAATATAAACTAATATGTTATTGTAATAAATACCCTTCTATTTTTTCTCCCTGGTATAATGGAACAATGCTGTAGTGCCAGAAAATGGGAAGTGAAGTGCTATGCAAAAACAGGAATAGAAAGGGCTGTGCAGTAGTGTTTGTAGCCTTGAGAAATATTGCATCTGGGGTTAAAATAGTATTACTTTAGGGAGACGTGTCTCTGTCTCATGTACATTCCCTTCTCTGTTGAAAGCTGAAGAGTCTCCAGCCACTCCTTGAGCCTACAGTATCTCCTACTTTCAATCTCCTACTTTCATCATCAGTCTCTGTTGCTTTGTGCCAACAGCTTTTGTCTGTACAAGGTCTGTACACCTGGAAGTGTAGAAGGAGTGTTCTTCTCCTTCATCCTGTCAGAAAAAGGTAAAGACAGAACAGCAGCTTTTTGGAGAAAAAAGGAAATGCTGAGATACCCAGTGCTGCTGATGGTAAGCCTGGTTAGAGAACAGGAAAAAGAAAAAAAAAAAAAATAAAAAAAACCCCCTCTGTTTTCCTAAGCCTCAGCAGCAACTCTGACAAAGTCAACTTATTACTGGAGCTTATGTTACAGCTCTCTGTAACAGCGTTTACTGTACAATGACTTCTAGTGCCATTGTCAAGCCTCATTATTCTTAGTTTTTCTCCTCAGCATTTACTAGATTTCTCTGAAAAGAGGACAGAAGTGTGACCACAGCAGCTCTTCTCATATGAAATGCTGTGTGGCAGATGTGTTATATCTACCTTGTATCTCCAATGCTGAATCGTCAAAACTTTGGACTCTTGGTAGAAAAAAACCTGTTGGGTTAGACATACTTTTTAGTTTGAAAAAAAAGATGTAAACAATAGCAAGTGGGTGTTGGCAAAAATCTGGCAGCCCTCTATACAGCTAGGAGAAATAATCTATTAATAACCCACCTGGAACCATAGTCCTTATATTTAGTGTGTCTCTATCCTGCGACATGGCTGCAGCTCATGTGCTGTTTTCACTGGTGCTGCAAGGATTAGCAGCAGGCCATCTGTTCAGCCAATGAGGAAAAACATGTGATTGGCAGGTACCACTGACCTAAGACAGACATCTCCTTTTGGTGCTGCCTGCAGAGTCCAACTGTGTGCTGGGTTCCTTCTTCTTTCAAGTTGTAAATTAAATACATTCATTCTGAGGTGATAAAAAGTGTCTCATGGTTGTTACAGCTTGTTTCTCTGGCATGTTCAACCAGTCTGTGCTTGTCTTTCTCCTTTGCAATTTACTAAAACCTACAAAGTTGTAAATCTAATCTCTAAGCTGGCACATGCTGAAGGGATGAGACACTGCAGATATCTGAGGGCAGATAATCCTGTTTGTCTCCAGAACTCCTCCAGGCTGCAGGAAGAACTGGCAAGCTGCAAGAGGCCTGGACATTTGTCCATCAGTGTAAGGACAAGCAATCTCTATGTTGTTGCCATTCAGCCCAATGTCTGGGATTTGGTTTAATTTCATCATTAAATATAAGTGGTGCTTTTCCGAAAAAGGACATTGTAAAATTTGATTCAGGAACAGCCTTTTTATTTCTTGATGTGGAGGCAAGTTGTGCTCTACTTCAGGACTCACAGCTACCATGCAGACAACTGTCAGGCAAAGGAGAACCTCCAAAATGAAGATGAAGCAGATATTAAAGCTGCACAATGGATTTTCAAGGTAAGAAAAAAAATGCAGGATTAGTTATACAAATGTCCTGTGGAAGGGGGTGAAATGGTGTATCTGGAAAAGAGGAGAAAGAAAATATTACTGTCATGAACAACATCTATAGGTTGTTTATCACCAAGACATCACTATTCATGCAGTTTTCCTTTTCCCTGAGCCTCATCCCCTGCCCTCTATTCCTCAGCATGTTGCAACCACAATGACAAAGGAGGTGGTGATCTGCCTTCCCACTAAGTGTCTGCTTTCAAAGAATACAATAAACACATCCATCTAACAAAAATTATTCATATTTTGTGAAGCTAATCTGTTGCTAAAAGAGTGAGGGAAAATATCTTGTTTCATGGTGCTTAGACACTGAAAAGTTTTGCCATTTTTACTGGTACTATGTCAGATTATTTTTATTGGTAATTGACAGAAGATGATATGCCAAAGAAATCAAACTGCATAATACTGAACTCTACTAGGGAGTTACAATAAATCCTCTTTAGTGAATCTATAGAGTATTCCTTAATTAAAAACAACAGTCATGTATCTTCTAGATTTTGTCAAAAGCCTGAAAGCTGCCTGAGGGGTGAACTGATATTATTTATTTATTTATGCGTGATCCTATGCAGCACAGCAAGAGAGACAAATGCAAGAAACTGTATCTTATTAAAGCTTTGGGGCAAAATGGTGCACCATTGATAGGGGAAAGAATGTGATAGCAAAGTCCTGCAGTCCTGGAACCAAAAAGGTTTTCTTTTTTCAGGCTTAAGGCCAGCACAGAGAGGGGCTAAGGCATCTAGGTTGGTGAAAGTCAGGGGAAGAAGCCATTCCCAATTCTACATCTGCCTTACAAATATTCATGTTAAAGCTAGAATTGATCTCTCCATCCCATTTCCTTAGCCAAAGTATAACAATTTCTAAGAGGCCATTTCATTTGAATTCTAGGAATGTACTCATCAGAAATCCTAAATTACTTTCTCTGCTTTTGCTGAAAGAAAATGCTCAGCCTGGTTTGCTGATATCAGAAAACTGTTTCTGATAATGAACAAAGTACACTCTGTTCAGAAATTCCTGTTATTCTGGCCTGTTTCTGTCCATTTGGCACATGAGCCTGGGGACTTCTTGACCCTGTTGAAGGCAAAAGAGTTTTTTTCACAGACCCAATGGCTCTTGAAGTTAACCACTGACAGTCATAGTTTCTGAAATCCAGATACTGAGTTCTTCATAACTCACATCCCCAGTCATTTCTCATTTAGCCATCCTTTAATTCACTGTAGGTGAATTGTTCCCTTCTGCTTGCTGATTGCTTTTGTGGATATTGCCTGAATTTGTAGTTTGTTACTGAGGTTATGAGAACATGGTACACAGGACTGAGTCAGTGACCCCACAGGGGATAACTTATTATTTCTCTATTCTGCAAAGGATTTATCTGTAGAGGGACATAAATGCCACTGGAATGTTCAGAGCCAGCCACTGTCCACAGTTCCTTTAACTGCACTGCTGCCAGCTTCCTTTCTCCTGCTTGCTGTCTGTTCCATTTACTTTGTTCAGTGCTTTTGTTCCTAAATACTGCAGCTCTACTGGCGTGGCTCTCATCCCTGGTAGCAGAGACAGCCTGCAGGGACTGCCCAGGAGATGCTCTGTAACCACTTTCTGAGCTCAGCTGAGTTAAATTGCTGTGATGTGGAAGCTCAGGTATGAGGCTACATTCTCTGGGGGACCATGTCTCCAAAAATTCATAAACCATATCAGCAAATGATCCTTTCACATATGTAATGTAAGCAATGTTACTGGTAGCTAATGAGTCTACTAGGATTGTGTTAGTGGTAGGAAGTTAAAAAACTTATCCATCTAGAAATGTGTATAGCACTAAGGCTGGGGAACTGAAATAAACTGCAGGCTTTACTTCACATGGGTGGGAAATGCCTTTCTCTTTTACTGATGGGGCACCACTGCACAGAGGGTTTACATGATTTCCTAGTAGTATTTAGGAAAATAACTTCAGGTTTGTGAGGTTCAAGACCAGTTTGTCACTTACACTTCCAGACTTGAGGACATCACATTAAAACTTTTTTTTTTTCAGTAACTCCTGGTTACATTGAAATGTACAGGAAGTTCAGGTTCTTTTGATAAAACATTTCTATATATGACACAGGTTGCTATAGAGAGATTATGTTCTTAGACCTGTAATTTGTGTGACTGACAGGGTCCTTGATCAGGCTGATTCCACAGTCCTCATTAATTCCCATGGTCCCTTCCACTTTAGATGAGATTTTGGATTTGATACTTCTCTTGACTGCTTCTGAGAACAAGCTGGCATCTAATTCAACATGCCAAAGGGTAAAAAAACCAAAATATCAAATAAATTTTTCAATTAAAAAAAAAAAACAACCAAAAACAAAACCAAAACAAACAAAAAAACCCAACAACAACCCTAAATATTTTAATGGAACACTTGAATTAGTTTTATTTATTCTTAAATGTGCTTTCAAAGAGAAACTGAATTATAAGAGAAATATTTTTGAAAAGTGGTAGGCAAAGCTTAAAGACCTTTTAAATTCTCTTCATGACATTTAAATTAACTCAATGAGTTGTTTGTTTCTATCTCCATTTGCATTGCTTAAAAAACCTTTTTCTGGCATGTTTGCATCTTGATTTATAAAAGTGTTAAAAAGCAAAACTGAATAAACTGCTTTTTACTGCTATCAACACAAAGATACAAGGACTTTGTTGACCCAGAGCTAACACAGACACATTATGTGTGCTCCCAAGGAGCTTTTTGCAAGTAAACAAAATAAAACACCCCTGAAACATTATGATGCCTTGCATCATATGATGCACTGCATAGGGAGATAGTTCAAGGTTTCAAATATATCACAGTTTCTTTCCCCTATGGACAAAATTTAGCCAAAGTCCTGTTCCACAGATCTCATTGCTATCCTTTCCTCAGAAGAGAGTGAGAATGTTCCCCAGAGAGCTGCCACATTTTAGTTCATGTCCAGATTACCCCTGGATAGAACCTGTTTCACTTCTATAACATAATTGTGGTTTCTAAGCATAGAGTATCCAGATTTGGTTGGGTTTACAAGATAATGCACCTACAGACAGCAAGGGACCAGGCAAGTGCAGATAAGAAAGCAGTGTGAGGGCTCTGAGGGCATTAATAAGTGCTCATGGCCCTGACAGCCTCAGCTGGGGCCTCTACCTTCACCCATGGACCAGCAGCTCTGTTTAAGTTTAGCCCACAGAGCCTGTTCCCTTGAGCTGAGCCTGAAGGAGTGATGGTCTGCAGCCAAGTGACAGCCATGTGGTGGGGCCTCCCACCATGGGCTGACTTCCTGCTTGACCTTGGCTGTCACCTCTCAGTGTGGGCTTGCTTCGTGGTTGTGGGACCTGATCGTAAATCTGATCTGAGGAGTTGACTTCCACCTTGCTGTGATACTTTTATGATCTGGGTCTTTCTTGAATTTGTCTCTGTGTTCTGTTTGCCTTGCTCAAGTAGTGGGAGTGGGATGTGGGATCCCTTTGCTTCCAGCTCACCTTCTGTGAGTGGGCAGCCCTGTTCTTGCTAGGGATTGAAGCAGAATCCTTTCCAGCTTCTGCTGACATTTGCCTTACATGTAAGGGCTTCCTTTCCTCCACAGGGCATGGAGCAGAGAGGTGAAGAACAGCATAGTGTTAAGTGAGAAGGTATGTGCCAAGGAGACACAGAGAGCAAGGATGAATCCTCCTTGAACAATAACCTGTAGGCTGAGGCACCGTGGCACCTGGTTATACCAGCGTGGCTTTCCTGCTTGCCAAGTCCTCTCCATTTAAATTCTGTATGGGGGACCAGGCAGAAATGGAAATGGCCTTGAGCATGCTGTCTGAAGGAGCAGCCCCAGGGAAGTATGGCTTCCTTGGTCTAGCTGATCTAGCTCTGCAGGAATCCTTTGGGCCTGGAGATGTCCAACATTATTCTATGGACTGCTTGTAATGTGAAAGTCACTCATGACCATGCATAGCTCACCTAAATTATTTGGCAAATGCTGTGAATCATAATGTATTTGATAAAATAGGAATCTATTCATAAACAATTCCAGAAAGGTCAAAAATCATAAAAGCTATTTGCAAAACTTTGATTCCGGTTGAATAATTGCATTTCTTTTATCCAAGTACTCCAGTGTCTTCAGCTACTGAGTGCAGGCAGTCATTGCTGCTGCTCTTAACAGTCCCTCTGAAGTCAGATGTTGTCTTTATCTTTGGTAAGAGTAGGAAAAGCCCTGGTATTGGTAAATATACTCACCATTTTCAGTCAATATAATCCCCAGCAAGTATGTTTGCAGTATGTTTTTCATACTTAGTCACGGTAGCATTTGTGCGTCTGCAAGCTTGTGGTTGTCAGAGGGTGTTGAGAGCAAACCAAGAACACACTTCTGTTCTTCTGAACAGGTCTTGTACTGAACATAATTGAACAGGACTGAAACATATTTGAACAGTCACATATTCTCTCATGTTTGAGATGGGTAGGGGATGCAAACTGTATGACTAGGGATTGAACCCCTTTCAGATGCATCCAGCATTCTTCATCCATGCCAAAATAGTTATTCTTACACACCAGATGTAAAATTTGAGACATGTTTGACGCTCTATCTTGTCCAGGAGCAAGGTTTCAAAGTGAGACAGAATTCTGGGAAAAATATAGGAGTATTATGGAGCATTTAGGACCACCAAGTTATGAGCAGCTAGTCATACTTACAACTTCTTTGATGATAAAGTATACTGTTTGATAGGGAAAAGAGTGGGTATTTTGCCAAATAGTTATAGACTAAGATAATAAAATAAAATCATAAGCACTTAGTTTTAAAGGTAAGCAAAGTTATTTCTAGGACAAGCTGGAGAGCATTATCTCTCTGTGGTGTTCTCTGGTGGTTAATTTAGTTTGCTGGACATGTATCCTTTATAACAATTGTATATCTTGTCCCTGAAGTGCTTTCACTAGTTAAAAAAGGGCTACTCCTGCACATTTTTACAGACTATCAACCTTTATGAGACCTGCAGTATTGTCTTGGTTTCAGCTGGGATAAACTTCATTTTCTTCCAAGTAACTGATGCAGAGCTGTGTTTTGGATTCAGTGTGAGACTAACTTTACTAACAAAGTGAAGTTTTAGATGTTGCGAAGCACTGCTTGCCCTAAGTCAAGGACTTTTCCATTTGCAATGTTCTGTTGGTGAGTGGGTGCACAAAAACTGGGAGGGAGCAGGGCCAGGAGAACTGACCCAAACTGGCCAAAAGGACATTCCATACCATTACATTACATTCCCAGTATATAAACTGGGAACAGTTGACCAGGAGAGGCCAATTCAGCTCTGTGGGTCCTGCTGGGGGCAGTGGAGGAGCACAGTGTGCTGTGAATGGGGCACCCTGCAGCAGACCCAGCCTTGGAAGACATGCAGTGAGCCGCTGGCTTCTCTTCTGTCAGTGCATGGGAATCATTTTCACTGCTTGCTGGCTACCCCTGCACAGCCTTGCAGAAATCTTTAATGTGGGGTTTGGGCTTTTCTTCCCACATTTCCTCCATAGTCTGCGCCAGGCAGTTCAAAGTATTACATACAACTCCTTTTAAAACATTATCTTTTAATGTTTAGCATGAAAGTAAGAACAAATTAATGTGGCTTAAGCAAGAATTGTTCTATCAGACATAAAAAGTTATGGTCTTTTACTGTGGGGGTGGTGGGACAAGTTGCCTAGAGAGGTTTTGAAATCTCTATCCTCAGAGCACTCCAAACCCTGCTCAGCACAGATCTGGGAAGCCTGAGGAACAGGAGACAGAGCTAGACAATATGCAGAGACCCCCTTCCAATCTCAACTATTCTGTGAAACAAAGAGCTCTTCAAAGAGTCTTTCTTTTTAAACTGTTCTGTAATTACATGGCATAATAATATTTTTAATTCATAAATTCTTTTTTTTTTCTTTTTGCATCCAGAAACATTTTTCAGAGACTAGCTGGCTGTATTGCTCAGCATTGTCTATGAGCCAATAATAGCTGCATAGACAGCAATCAGAGGGCATTCTTTTGTAAAAGTTGTTAAAATAATAATGTACTACACATTAATGGGTAGACTACTTGCATATAAATGGTGTGCAAATTTTCTAGTCCTCATAGATAATTTGTACTAATTTGCAATAATGTGTTTTTCTAATTTAGTGATTTACATATTTTACTCTTGAAATAGGCCTAAAGCTTCCTTTTCACATATGCACCTTTGAAATGGGCAAAATGCAGATTCCTGGGCTAATTAAGATATTACTGTCAGAAAGAATTTAATGAATATGAAAACCAAAAGGCAAAGTGCTTTTACACTAGTTCTGGACATTTTTCAGCAAAACAATCCTACACTGACCTGAATTACAGAGATTGTTTTTATTAATTTACAGTGACCTTCTTTAAGTGGAACAAAATGTCATGCTGATTAATAAATAACCTACTCTGCCTAAATCTAGATCAACTCATTTGAGATATGGATAGCATCAGGTTTACAAATACATTAATTTACTGTATCCATTCACCAGCAAGAATTAACAATTTAGATAAAGGACCCTGGGAAAAGCAACATTTCTCTGGAAGACCACAGAGACTTTCTTAAAAAGGCATCTAGTTTGGGTGTCTGGGAGTCAGAAGAAATTTACCTTTACTCCATGATATACCTCTCACAGTCAAACCTGATGAAAGTAAATGACTTTTGGTGAAATACAAAATTAAAATGATGTACCTTTCTGCATCAGCAGCCCAGCATTATGCAATTGGTGTTGCTGTGATTTGAAGTTCAGCCTCCATGCCATGATGTGTTAGGGATCACCTGAGCATAGCATTCCCATTGTACTCTGATTTCTTTCCAATACACCTCATTTCTAATTGAAAGAGGAATCGGTGTATGGGGTTTTTTCAGCTTGTATTTCTCAGGGATTTCTGAGTGCCATAGGAATCCTGAAGTACCAGATCAGCAAATCGTTCCAGTGACCAGCAGAATGGTGTGGGGTGCAGTATCATGGTAATCAGAGGCTAGAACAGCTCTCCTGCAAAAACAGGCTGAGAGAGTTTGGGTTGTCCTGCCTGGAGAAAAATGGGTTCCAGGGAGATCTTAGTGCTGACTTCCAGTACCTAAAAGGAGCCCACAAGAAAGCTGGAGAGGGACTTTTTACAAGGGTATGGAATGACAGGACAAGGGGAAATGGGCTGAAACTGAAAGAGTGGAGGTTTCAATTAGATACAAAGAAGAAATTCTTGACTGTGAGGGTGGTGAGGCACTGAAGCAGGTTGCCTAGAGAGGTGTGGATGCCCCATCTCTGGAAGCATTCAAGGCCAGGCTGGATGAAGCTCTAATAAACTTGGTCTAGTGGCAGATGTCCCATTCATAAGGTATGGGAGGTTGGAAATACATTATTTTTAAGGTCTCTTCCAACCCAACTCATTCTGTGATCTAAGATTATTATAGGCAGTTCTGGGTCAGAGTTTGAAAGTGTCATCTGACATTTGCTACTAGGATCAGCCTAAATATCCCTGTTTAAATTCATTACTCCTTGCTGTGTATACTGTGAGCATGAAGAGTAATTTACTCCTTCTCCTTGCCTGTTTGTATACAATGCATGCTACCCAAGATGTATTTCTCATGAGTGATGCAAAGACACAAAAATCATGATTTCCACACATGCTTTTTCACAGTAATTTCTTTCCACAAAAATTTCAAAGACTCCACAGAAAAATAGATGTTTATTTCAAGCCTCTTAATACTTACTCAGTCCTACATTAGCCCCTTCTGTGCAATAACAGGACTGTTTTTTACTTCCATTTATTTGTGTCTTTTCATAAGGCATATTCAGTCAAAAAAGAGATGCAAAAAGAGATCAGAATCCTATCACAAATACATTACTTTCAAAGCCAAGCTTCATGTTGCTAGCTGAAAGTTAAGTGCATCCTTCTGGGAAGGTCAAAGCCAAAGCCATGCCAAGCCAGGAAATGCAAGGGAGACCATCACTCTTCTCCCAGAGACCACAGAGGGGATGAAAAGACCTTGTTTATGTACAATGTAAGTAATTGTCTATTTCTTCACAAGCACTAAAATTTAAAAGTGAAACAGGCAGAACATTATTTTTCCATCAGACTCATCCAAAACATGGGCTGAAGAACTTACTTGGGGAAATGGCAAGGATCTGTGAGCAGGTGAACTGGTGAAGCCTGGCTTGCAACAGTCTGTGCCTGCTTACTGACAGTTCTGGGTGTCTCAGAAGGCTTGGCCTTTCCCAAAGCCCCTTCCTGTCCTAATGCTAATTCCAAAACTTTCAGGAATTTAGATGTTGAGATCTTTAAGCTAACAGATATTTATCCTACCACTTTGCGTGGCTGGAAACAGCTCAGGAAGCTAATTGCCTTCAATATTATACATTTAGTGTCAGTCTCAAAGTAAATGCAATCTAAAATACTGTATCAACTCTTAAAGGTGAGAGCAGGCTAAAATAAATCAGGAGCTGCCCAATGATGCCTGCCAAGCAGCAGCTGATTGTCTCACAAAATGTCACATCATTTTTTCTGGATCACTGTACCAAGCACTTAATTACTCTCACAAGAAAGATTACATTATTTTCAGGAGCCTAGAGATGTCAGGTCTATGCTGAGGAACTCATACAGAAAAAGGGGAAAGGCTCAAATTTGTTTTGTTATTTATTTGGTTCCAGTTGTGAACATAGCTTAATTTCAGGAAGTAGCTGTGATTTTTTCCTGTGACATTTTGTGTGATTTACTTTAGGACTAAGTAAAAAAGAAAACAGTTCTCACTGTTCTGTTGACTTCACTGCTTCCTTTGAAAATAATCAAATTAAGAGCAAAAACAGTGGGTCAGGCTTAGACCAAAATAGGATCAATTATTTGTTCTTCAAAGGTAAAACAACTTATTATGAGAGACAGATTATAATATTTTAAAGTATTAATTTTCTTGCATTGAAGTGCTTCATTTTGTAAAATGTATGCTCTTTTCTTTTTATTACCAAACCAATTTGTTCAAACACACAGAATCTTATGAGACAATTGTCTTTGGGGAAGAAAATCTCCTTTAAGGGATTCCTTGCTAATGCTGTAGTTTAGCATCCCAGATGAGCTTTGGCACTTACACCCTTTGTATCTTTTGGTACTTGGAACTCATGCTCAGATTTGCAGAGGTGCTCAGACTGTGCTGGAGAAGCTGCTGAGTTGCTCCTCTCTGACCCCTTGTCCTGTTTTTTCATTTAAAAATTCTTGCTCCATTTACTGATTTACATTACCCAGAATTCTGCATGGTA